CAGCATCAATACAATTCAAAATCTAGCATGTGCCTTTAAATGGACATAGTTATTTCCTCTGGAATTTATTTAACCAGGGGTTGAATCCACCAGAACTTCTCAATCTCTTCAAATGTTTAATAATAGTTTTCAAAATGCTTTGTAAATTTCATGCATGTTCTGTTTTCTTTTATTGATTTTAGTTAAATGTCTGTAACCTCACCTGTTTCTTCTTGATGTCTCTGAGAGCAGCGATGTCATCAGGAGCGTCTGAGGGGACACTGGTAACAATCCCAGTACCTGAGGAAGACAGACAGGGCATAAAATGTACTTATGCAAATCAGGAACTTAAATTTCTCTCTGATAATTTAAAATTACCATATACAAATTTATAATTGATAAATTATTAATTGCCACCACATTTCCACAACTGCCAAGCTGCTGCAATAAAGTAGCTAACAAACTGGGAAAAGGGAAAGAACAAATAACTGATAATTCACTCTGACTCATTGCTTGGTCTGCTTCTTTGAGACTAGTCAGTACTTTTCCTCATGCGCCCCAACAACAATCCGGGCCAAAAAAGTCAAGGAAGAACGAGGGATAAAGTCCTGTGCCTAAAATATTACCTGCAGCAACAGGAGCTAGAATAAATTATCTTTTTAATGCTTTTTAAGAGCATTTTCTTAAACCTTTTGACAACTGTCAGCACAAGTTCAAAAGAGCATAACATGCCCCCCAACTCGAGCGTTTTCTGACTGCTCTGAGCAGCAAAACTGACAATTCAACAGCAAGGGCATAATGTGACATTATTCTGCCCCCCAAAACTTTTTACAAATAAATCTAACAAACACAACCTCTCTATATTCACAATTCCTCATACCTTTGTCCTCCTTGATGGTAAGCATGGGCAGAGCGTAGATAATCTTATAGGAGGTCAGAGGTGCACTCAGGGCACAGCCAAGAATATCCTGAAGAGGCAAAAAAGATTGAGTGATTGAAAATAGGCAGAACAGACGCACCTGCAATAAGTTTATGTTTTTGGCCACAGAAACTACCAGACACAATTATTAGTACCTGTCCCAGTATTTCCATGACCACGGGCACCACTCCATTCTCTTTGGTGAAGCCCTGGTAAGACATGTTCCTGGCAGATCTACTGGTGCAGATGAAAATGTCTCCGTTGGTTGTCTCAAAGGCGACATACTTCATGTCGGGTCTCACCCAGCAGTTGGTCTGACCGAACATGGTCTCTGGTCTCAGAGTGGCAGCCACCAGGAAGATGTTTTTCCCTTTCATGCCGCTGCGGGGAGGAGAGCATCGACACTTCAACTCCAGCATCACATCTAGACTTAGTGGTATTGTATATATCAATATCTGAAACATAGTTATGTGCATGTAAAACTTTTTCTTCCCAACCAGAATTATTGTTAATTAGTGCTGTGCTGTGATTTGTCACCTGCTGTAAAAGACTTTGGACTTGAATTTTGCTGTGTACGGCTCCACTATCTTCATCTTGACGAGAGTGTACTCCTGAGGTCCTACTCCCTGCAGGGGAGGATAAATTGTTACTGTTACATGAGGAATTTTCTTCATCCACAATAATCAGCCAGACCAAGCAAAAAGAAAATGGTACTTCATATAAAATCCAATGCCCATGAATGTGATGTGAGAATTAGTGTGGTGTGGTGGTTGAGTGTACCTCGCCTGTCTGCCTGTCGTGATCCATGCAGGGCTGCCCATCCTTGGGGGAGAAGATGGTGTACCTGCAGAGGGGTCAGAGAAGGTGATATTTACAACTAAAAGAAAATGTAATTCTGCTAAAATAAATTAATAAATTAAAATAAACTGCTGGAGACCAAAAGGAGAATGTTAAGGTCAGTTATCAATCTACCACATTAAGACAAGTACCATTCAAAGACATTTTCCATGCCTTACCCAATTAAAACAAATGACACTGGCAGAGCCATTGACACATTATTGCAGGCAATACAATTCAATGATGGTGACAGCAACTAAGATAAATTACTCCTAATTTTCTCAGTGTTCACTATTTCACTGGAAGAATGGTGCTACAAAGCAAGAAAAAAAAAAATCAAACCTCTTAATTTTATTACAAACCTCTCGAACCATCTCACCTTTTACCAAACTTGATCTTTTTTCTCTCCTTCAGTGTGATGAACTGCCACCTGACGAAAGAGTCGTAGAAGGGGTTCACATCTGTGGTGATGAATGAACGCCTCCAGTCCACCTGTGACATGATAACACATTAACATCATTCAGGTACAATCTATTTAATTCTATTATTGATCTAATTATCAACGAGACTAATAAACCTTTCAATTTGCATATTAGGTACCAAAAGACATGACTATGTGCACGTCAAGTCCGCTGTCTAGTGTTTGTCTTAATACATTTGTTAAAATAATTAAGCACAATTATATTTAATGACGACAATAAAAAACAAGGTCAATCAAAGCATAGATTTATGTATTCTGTTGTATAAATGGTCAGACACAAGTAGATACAGAAACAATAAGAAAGCTGTATGCCTGCATTAGAAGAATATATTTAGTTACCTTGACACCCATCTGTTTGAGGTCTTTAACAGCCAGAGGAGGGAAGTAGTCAAGCCAGTGATCAGCATTGGCAAACCTGGTGATCTCCTGGTCCCTCAGGCCCAAAGACCTCATAATGTCCCACTGGTAAGTAGAGGATCCAGCTTTGGCAACTGCTTTACTCTAAAAGAGGAAGAAGACAGGGTGGTAATATTATAAATAATAAGTAAAGCATGTGGATGAGTAGTATAATGTGGATAAGAGAGATAAAATAACACATGAGCAAGAGACATGTTCAAAACATTAAGTCCTACATGTTTATGGGACTTTATGGGACTATACCTAATCTTATAAAGAGTCAGGATAAGTTGTTAATAAATTCAATCACTTCTGACTTTCACATGAAAATACAAAGATTATTTTTAAGGAACAGATTATCTACTCCACTGCATATCGTTTAAAATGCCATCAATATTTTCCCTCAGATCACTGACCTTCTTGCCCTTTGCTTTGTCCTTGATGATGATTTCATCAGATGTCTTTGGCTTCTCCTTCTCTTCTTCCTCCTCATCTGGAAACTCTGGAGGGTTTCCATACAGCTCCATCTCTCTCTTCAGCTTGTCTGCACAGGCCTGGTGGAAATAATATTAATGTATGAATAGCAGAGGGAAGGAAAAGACAGAGTGTGTGTGTGTGTGTGTGTGTGTGTGTGTGTG